GGACCTGTACCTAAATTAAATCAATTTTACAGTACAGTTACTGTACCCTCGTTCACAGCTTTACCTACCATAACATAGTCGTAGATACAGTTGCTGTGAGCTTCGATGAAGAAATTGGGGTCAAAGTTGAGGGACACATGGTAGCCAGGGTCCACATTGATGGTCCACTCACACTCCAGATTGTGAGGATAGTTCTGGGGGTAGTTGGGACTCATGAGGGTACCAGAGTTACCATGGAGAATTCCTCCACATCCTGAGAAAAACAAAGTTTCAAAGCAAAAAGATATTAAAACTCCATGCAGAATAATGCCCCCAATTTGAAAAAAAACCTTGTATTCAAACTTGCAGGTTTGATATATAAGTTTATTAATAAGGCAAAAAAATTACTCTAATTTATGTTCCAGAGAACAATGTGTTATGCACCGAGTGCATTGCTATTGAAAATTTGAACACCGTTTTCGGACATTAGAATTAATTTTTTTTGGTTAGGTTCACCGAATGTCAGCACATTTCTCATTGAAATGTGTGTTTTCTCTTTTTCTTAAATTATTATACTACATTTCTCATTGAAATGTGTGTTTTCTCTTTTTCTTAGAATTATACTACACAGCGTATTCTGCGTCACCCTTGCTCCCTCCAGCCTTTAGGTGATCTGACCTGCAGTTGGACTGATACCTCGAGCGATACAGAATACACCGTGTAATTCTATATTATACAACAGTTACTGTATACTGACCCAAGCCATCCGTGGTGTAGGTAGCCCTGAAGCCCATAGCCGATTGACTGACGTCTGTCTGGAAGTACAGCAACAGATACCTGCTGCCGGAGGTGAAAGGTCGAGGGCCGTTGTTTCCGCAGTATCTACCGATCTGTGGTGAACTTACGCTGGCACCGTTGTAGATTGTCAAGTAGTCAAAGTCACAGTTTGGATGACTCTCCATGGCAAAATCTGTGAACGTGATCTGGAGGGCACAAAGTTAACAATGCATTTGTATAGTGTAAGTAGGTAGCCAGATGGTCTCAGTTTCTTCTTCTTCTTTCATTTTGAGGCTAATAAAACCTAATTCAATGTGAAACAAAATTGAAAAAATATTTTATCTTGGAAGTTCATCTGTGTTGGTAGAAGTCATTATGAAAAAAGTTTGAATTGCAATTGGCAACACAAGAAATTGGATGTAACCAAATTTTCGACTGATGTACAACTCCAGTCGTTGAAAATTTGCGTACGTCCAATTTCTTGTGTTAGCAATTGCAGTTCAAACCCGTTTCATAATGAACTAGAGTTCCACGATCTCATACCTTCGCCAAATGATGTTAGCTTTTATGATTAAGAAATTATATATTAATCCCCCTAATTATGCAAATAGGATCCTCAATTGCATGAATTATATCTGTTGATCATATTCTCCACCAAAAGACAGTCTTATCTTAACAAAGAAAGCCATGATGAAATTTTCTCATAAATTATGCAAATGAGGTCGTTATTTGAATAAGTTATGTTTAATTATGTTCACCTTAACTTAACTTTCAAACACCCCAAGTATAAAATTCCAGGCAGTTACCACTATGCAAAGCTAAGAAAACAGGCCAAGAGGAAGACTGGAACAAATATAAGAGAGTTAAGAAGGGAGTTCAGAAAAGCATAAGACAAGCACACTCTAAATACGTGGCAGACATACTGGGAGAAGCTATAGTTGACAAACCCAAAACATTCTGGTCGTACATAAA